TTTGACTGGGGTGAGTTTTATAAGCCTGGGTTTACACATTTGTTTATATGATGGTGATGGTGACCAGGGTGTTAATGGCATAGGGTTTGTGAGGGTGAGCCAAGAAAATAGAATAAAAACACTTTGCAAGGTGCCTGTCACTCAGAGGAAGGAGCTGGTGTTAAATATGTACTTTTGGTCCCTTGGCAGAAGTTTTGATTCATTCACAGAAGTAGCAATCTGGGCATTCTGAGTAATTTTTAGTTACTATTTAATTATAATTAATATTTTAACTACTATTAGTATACGTTTTAAAATTTGTTTTTTGTTTAGGTTATTGCTTAAAAATCTTATTTAGGGAACGGCAGGATAGCTCAGTGGGTAGGCACACTTGCTGCTAGTCCTGAAGACCTGACTTCAATCCCAAAGCAGGTTGTTCTCTGGCCACCATTTGTACCCACCCCGTTATCCCCATATACATAAAATAAATGTGATTTTAGCCAAACAGTGTTGGTGAATGCCTTAAATCCCAATACTTGGGAGGTAGAGGCAGGCAGATCTCTGTGAGTTCGAGGCCAGCCCAGTCTACAGAGCAAGTTCCAGGACAGGCTCCAAGGCTACACAGGGAAACCCTGTCTTGAAAAATAAAAATAAAAAAATAAAATAAATGTGATTAAAAAAATCTTATGTAGCAAAAAGGTAAAGCAAATGCAATGAAATACGGTTTCTTCCTAGCATATGTGGTTCCAGCTGCTCAGTCAGTATTTATAAAAGTTAATAAATGACCCCGGCAGCCGCCTTGCTGGGAGTTTCCTGTCTTATCAAGCACAACGATCACTGGGAATCTGACGATATGCAAATTTTACTTCAATAACCCTGGATGGGGTCCAGGCTTTGGAACCTGTATTTTGTGTAAGTCTATAGAGAAGCTGGCTCTGCCGGCCAGATAATGAACATGCTGGTGTCTGTAAAGCATCGAGGACACAGATGGAAGCAGAGTCCCTGATGGCCTGTGTCAGGGTTCTCTTCCTGGGAAGTTTATGTCTAGATCCAGCTTGGTAAACCAATTAAAGACGTTACTGGCCTTACATCCAGGAGCTTGGGTGACTCAAAATCAGCTGGATTGTTGAAGAGTCGCAGCCTAGAGCAGGCAAACTCAAAAGAGCCCCATAGCTCCTGTGGGACTTGTAGACAGCTACAGCACTGGGGTCCCCTTCTCCCCAGCAATTGCATGTAGCCTGTGTAACTTGGGGAGGGACCCTGAGAGTCTTGTTTGTTTCCTGAGCCCCTAAACCTCTTCTCTCCAGAAGAGACTATTTCAGTCTGAAAGAAATATCTATATAACTGTGTGGGAAAGAATTAGAACCCATACAGAGTTTTTAAAGGAACAGATAGACTATTCCAGAAAGAGAAGACAAGTCTTGACCTCTGTGGACATTTGTCCTTTCAGTACCAGAGAGTACCCGAGGACAGATCCCTAGGGCTCTCCTTTAAGACAATGACCATGACAATGAACACAAAGCACATTTACTTTTTTGATTTTTGTTTATTTCGCTGGCTGGCTTCCACAGTTTGTAAAGGGCCTTAAATATTTCACTGGCTGGCCCCAGTGTGGTCATTTTCATTCTCTTTGATAAGCTTGATTTCCTTCCATGAAAATGCGTGAACTTCCTGGGGGGGGGGGCAAGATAATGAGAGCACGTGGGATGGGCTAAGACCTCGATCATTTGTGGACACGTGTGTTAAGGTGACTGACTATTGGGCAGCAGGGTTTTTATGGTTAGCTGGGCCACATGCTAGTTCCCAGAGAATGGGCAAGCCTGCAGAGAACAGGAAGGAAATGAAAATGGTCCTGAGGCGGGCTAGAAAGACAGGGGAAATTATGGAACCGGGGAAGGGAAAGGGAGCCGCTCACCCTGGAGTCTGGCTGAAGTCTCCTACCGTGTTGAGATTCAAAAATTCCAGCAGGGTGAACATTTGTTGTGGCTGTTTGGATGCGAGTGGCCCCCACAGGCTCAAATATTTCAATGCTTGGCCCCCAGTTGGAGAAACTGTTTGGGAAGGATTAGGGCCTTGGGCTTTGTTGGAGGAGGTGTGTCACTGGGGTTTGAGCTCTGAGGTTTCAAATGATTCTGTTCCCAGTCTCTCTCTCTCTCTCTCTCTCTCTCTCTCTCTCTCTCTCTCTCTTCCACCTCCACCCCTCCACCCCACCTCTCCCTGCCTTTTGCTTGTGGATCAAGATCTAAGCTCTAAGTTACTACTGCAGCGCCATGCCTACCTGCCTGCCCCTGCCTTGGTGGTCACGGACTCACCCTCTGAAATGGTAAGCCCCAAAGAAACTCTGTTTTCTTCTATAAGTTGCCTTGGTCACAGTGTCTTATTAGAGCAACAGAAAAGAAACTCAGGACATTTCTTTAAATTGCTTTTTCTTTTCCAGCTGTGAACCTGCAATTTTCTAGTAATAACTCCTTCAGCCACATTTCCAGTAAAAGGACACACACTGAAACAAAACTAAAAAGTTTTGTCTTATCAGATTGTAACCACACCCAAAGTACCCTGTAACATCACTCATTCAAAACATGGACAAGAGAGGAGTTTCTTAGTGCCCTTTTGAGATGTCAGTCTATCCACCAAAATGGGATATATGGTTAATGCTAAGACACTTAATTGGGGCTGCTGCAAGAGACAGCATGGTGCTGTGCCTCTGTTCCTGCTATTGCTGACAAGTCCCGTCAGGTGCAGTTAGCAATCGAGGCTCTACAATATAAGGAACATGTGACTCCAAATAGCTGTAAGGTCTTGTCCACGTGGCACAAGCTGGAGTCACCTGGGAAGCCTCAGCTGAGGAATTGCCTCCATCGGATTGCTCTGTGGACAAGTCTGTGGGACATCTTCTTGATTGATGATTGATGTGGGAGGGCACAGCCCACTGTGGGCAGGTGGCCTGGGCATAAGAAGCTAGCTGAACTTCTCTATGGAGAGCAAGCTGGCAAAGGGAATGCCTCCCACAATATCTATTTCAGTAACTGCCTTGGCTTTCCTGATAAGGGGCTGTAACCTGTGGGTAAAGTAAACCCTGTCTCCCCCACATTGCTCTCAGTCAGGGTGTTTTATCACAGCAATATAAAGTAACCAAGACAGCTAAAATTTGTCAAATAATTAATTGTATTTTTTTTTTTTGAAACAGGGTCTCTCCATAAAGGCCTGGTTGTCCTGGAACTCACTATGTAGACTGATATGTAGATCAGGCAGGCCTCACAGATATTTGTATCTGCCTGCCTCTTTCTTCAGAGTACTGGGCTTAAAGGCTCGCTCCACCACCCCTGCGCTAATGTGTCTTTTCACCCTATGAAAACACTCAAGTTAGACACCCTCAAGGTCACCCAACTGGAACGTAGCACGTAGCCAAGTTTTCAAACTCGGTAGAGGCCCCAAGACACTTCATTTACGTAAGTCTCATTTTCCTTTTTTTCTGCTCCCTCTTTCATTTTTCTGCTCCAGCTGGAACACTGGGCACGTACTTCGTCACTGAGTTACACTGCCCCGGCCCTCTGTTTTGCTAACCTCCCAGTGGCTTCTTCTTCAGCACACTCGAGGCCTGACTCAACACGTGGTGGGCACACTGGGAGTGAAATTAGGGAAGCCAAAATCCTTAACCTTTTTGTAAGTGAGTGTGCAGTAAAGAAACCGCTGAGGTGATGGGATGGCTACCCCGTGGTTCCAGAGAAGGTTCTCGTCTTTGTCACTGTCCTATTGCTGTGAAGAGACACCAGGACCAAGGCACCTCTTATAAAAGGGTCATCATGACAGACAGTATGGGCAGATGGAATGACACTGGGCATGGCATGGGCTTCAGAAACAAACCCAGTGGCCCACTTCCTCCAACAAAGCACACACATTTTAATCCTGATCCATCCAAAGGATTCCATTCTGGGTTACTAAACCTTCAGATGAATGAGCCAATGGGAGCTTTTCTTATTCAAACCAAGACAGTTTTTATTGCACATGGTGTGTGTGTGTGGTGGGGGTGAGAACAGCCAGAGGGGCATCTGAAAGAGAAAGAAAAAAGCAGACTGGCTAGGGCTAGGGCTATGGGGGCAGATAAGAAATAACAGGGGGGAGAGACACAGAGATGGAGAGAGACAGAGAGAGAGAAGGAGAGAGAGAGGGAGAGATACAGAGAGAAGAGCAGCAAAAAATGCTGGGAGAGTCCTACCCATTACGTTGCCATTGCTGCCATTGCGGAGGAAAGAGGGTGGATTAGCTGGGACGCAGCATAGTGGAGGAGGAGCTGGGGAGATGAGAAGAACCTGAAGGCTCTCGTGGGCGTCTTGGCACTCATAAGAAGTGCAAGTTACTAGGGGCTGGAACCACCTGGAGGTTAGCTTATCACAGGTATACACCAAAGGAAGTGACCCTTTCTCGGGGTTTCCCCGAGGAATGCTGCATGTAAGTTTTGATTTATCTTTTTGTTTACCCTGCCAGGGTTCAGGGGGCGCTGAGCTCAGACTGTCATTTTCGACTAAGTCAGTGGGCCTCCTCTTTTTTTTCCCCCCCCGCGGAGAGGGGATTGGGAGTTCCCATTGGATCTGACATTTTTGCCGTGGATAAAGGTCAGATTCTACAGCCAGGCTTGGTGACTCACGTCTTTAATCCCAGCACTCACTCAGGAGGCAGCACCACGGAGGCAAAGGCAGGCAGAACTCTATGATTTTGAGGCCATCCTGGTTTACATACTATGCCCCCCCTCCCCCGGTTTCTCCTTTGGTCCCCTCAATGAGTCAGACTAGGGTACACTCTAGGGAACGGGAGACTTTGTCTCCTGTCTTCCTCTAATTCGCACGCATCTCGCGGCTCAGCCCCGGCCCAGAGAGAGGTTTTAGGGTCCTGCCGGGCAGAGTCCAGGTTCACAGCTAGGTTCAGGCAGAAGGAGCTGGGCCTGGAGGAGGGGCTCAGCCAGGAGACCAGGCTATGGGCGGAGTTTAGAGGCCGGGGCGGGGCGCGCCCCAGGGGCGCCAGGCTCGTGGAATCGTGCCGGGGGCTCGGAGCACACGGGCATAAGAACACCGTGTACGTACCGGGCTTGCGGAGCACCGGTCTGCGCACAGCCATCCCGGCGCCGCTGTACGCACGCGCCCCGCAGCTCCTGGCTGACGCCGGCATCAGCCTCCGCCGCAGGAAGCCACCGCACACCGCCAGCACCATGCCCCGCATAGATGCAGACCTTAAACTCGACTTCAAGGATGTTCTGCTGCGACCTAAGCGGAGCAGCCTCAAGAGCCGAGCCGAGGTGGGGGCCGCTGGCATGCCGCCTTCGGGCTGGCAAGGGGGAAGTGGGTGCAGGGGATGGCACAGAGTGCCTCATCTGTGCCAGAGGCAGAGCTGTCACACCCTCTCCCCGCTCTGAGAAAGGGGAAGGCCAGTCGGTTTTCTCTTACACCTGAACTGTCTTTAGGGTCAGTGACAAGGGGGCCTAGTTTGGGCCTGGAATTATAAATGCGTCTGTCTACCGTTGGTGGGCTTGGGGAAGTTCACACTGAGACTCAACCGCAGAGCAGCTAAGATCAACCAATCAAGTAGCCGGTGACTTTAGAAGGCACGGCTCTCAGGAGGGGCACTCAGGGAGGAGAGGAAACGGTGAGGCTAGGATGGAAAGGAAAAGAAACTCAACTGCAGACTCTCGGGATTCGGAGCAGTGTCCCCTGGTGCTGGGACCTGGCTCTGCTGATTTAGCATTAGGTCCTGTGGTGGAATGTTGTGAACGCGACAGAACAACAGAACAAAACAATAAAAACCGGGCGCCCCCAGCACTCAAGTTTAAGATTTTTCTTTTTGAGTTTAAATGGCCTTGCGGGTGCTGAGCTTGGGGACCTGCTTCTTCATGTCACTCTGCGGTACCAGACAGTCTGCAGTCCCAGCCCGGAGTGAGGCAAACTGACGCGCTGGGGTGAGGGTCATTCGGGCCATTTGGGAGTTAGCTGTGCGATAATAAGAGGAAAGCTTGGAAACAGGTGGAGTCGGGAGACTGCCGAGGTCAGACCTTAAAGGATACAGAGTTTTCTGGAAAGGTGGAGCCGGTTGGAGAAGTAGTGTTCCTGGACAGTGGCTTAGCCACTCTCCGGGGGGGGGGGGGGGGGGGAGGGGGGGAGGAGGAAAGGAGGAACAACCTGAAAGGACTGGATTTGAGTTTGGGTAAACACAGGGGAGCTAAGCCAGTTAGCCCGCCCCATCCCTCTTGCTTCGCAAACAAGACCATAAATAAATCCCCTCAGCAAACAACTCGTTCAGGTGCCCAGGCTGGACTGCCATGCCTGCAGCTGCCAGCTGAGGGTTGCTACCGAATTAGGTCCGCCTCCTGCGCTAGCCAATGAACAAGTAGAACCAAGTGACTTTCGCTAAGCAGGGGCATAGGCTGCTTGGAACCAGAATTGCTCTAGACAGGAAGTGGTGGTGGTGTGTGTGTTGGGGGGGGGGGGGGGGTAATGGACCCTTATCCACCCAGATTAGATGCCCCTGGGCCTGTCCTTCATCGCGTACTTTCAGGTGCCAAAGAACCAGGCAAGCCTTTGTAACAAAAATAACACGAGAGAAAACACCTGGACTGTTTTAGAGAAACTGGTAGCCAGTAAGTAACTAAACAGACCAGGGTTAATAATCTGGCGGCCTCATTGTTTGTTTTCTTAATGTTTGTTTAAAATTTATTTAGGTGTTAGCCACTTATTTATAAATATGTATCGGCACAAAGCGAGGATCTATGCGTTTTCTGAACTAGGAAGACTCTTGAGGAGAAGGTACAATATTAATATTTATGTGAATGGTATGATGTCATGCCTCATTTGGTTTTATAATTTGTGCTGATTGCCACTCTTAATGTCCATGCATGGATTGAATCTTGCAATCTGTGTATACCCATCGCAGTGAGGACTGGTGCCCTTGAGGATTGTCCTCACACGGTAGCTTTTATGAGGAAGTGTTAAGTGGTGTGGCTCTTCCAATTGTCTGTGGGCTAGCTTCCTGGGGCTGGAGCACTCTTGCCTGGTGGATGAGCTCACCTAATGTGACTTGCCTGCCTGGCACTGCTCAAGGAACCACCTTAGCCTCACTAACGTTCCATCTCGGTGTTTCTTTTGTTGTCTTGTAATTAAGCGCCCCAGGATGGGTTGATTGCGTTAAGACTTTTGGATTTATCCGATACACATGGGGTTTGTGTCCTTCCAGGGGAGCCAATCCTGGCTTTACCACCCGAGCCCAGTTCTTAACTAAGAATTTTGCTTATGTGTACATGTTCATGTATGTGTGTGCGCACACATGTGCGTGCACTATCCACCTTTTTTTAAAAAATCATTTTTTATTTTTTAAAAAGATCTTGATGCAGGGTTTTTCATTGGCCTGAAACTTGCCAAGCAGTCTAGTCTGGCCAATAAGCTCCAAGCATCTCTGTTGGTTTCCACCCCCCTCTCCCCTCCCCCACACCTGCCCTGGGGGTTACACGTGTGCTGCTATACCCAACTTTTTTTCTTGGGTCCTGGGGATCAAACTTGGATCTTCATGCTTGTATGGCCCGCACTTTAAAGGCTGAATTATTGCCCCAGCCAACAAGAGAATTTTGCTTGCTTGTTTTTTTTTTTTTTTTAACATTAATGTGGGATTTGAAAGCTGGATACTGGAGAGTATTCGCAGCAGAGAACCATCCGCTTGTCCTAAGACAGGACAAATGCAAACGCTCTCCCATCTGCTAACAGCTCCTAACTGCTAACTGCTGGACCATTAAGGAGAGATGGGGCTAGCGGTCCCCATCTGCAACAGTCCGACCCATAGGGAACAGAGAACAGGACAGGGAGGAGAGACTATACAGAAGAAAGGAGGTTCCAGTTTTAGTCTGAGTTCTGTCACTACTTATTTTATTGCCTTGACACTGTGTCCTGGGGCTGCTATGACACAGAATTACAGAAGAGGCCACTCTGTCAAGAGGCTTTATCTCCCAGCTGGGCACACTGGAAGCCCCCCAACCTAGGTGTGTCTATGCGGTAGGTTTCTCTGGAAAGCTGTTTGTGAGATGGAGCGAGCATCTGCCCCACGCATCTCCCCAGCTCTTGCTGGATTGCTGGTCACTTCTGGTTCTCCTTGGCATGTAGATGTCCCATCTAACCCTCAACCAACGTCACCTCTGTAAGCTGTCCTCCTTCAGTGCGTTTGTGTCTAAGTGTTTCCCCTTTTGAGAAGAACCATTCTACACCCCACGTGACCTCATCTCAACTTGGCCACTTGCAGAGATCCTATTTCCGAATAAGGTTCCGTTCACAGGTACTAGCCTTAGGACTTCGGTGTCATTTGGGGGAGCCACAATTCAACCCGTAACGGCCTATGTAAACTTGGCTTTGTGGAGTTAGAAGATTTGCCCAGATTTGTTCTTAGTCATGAGTGCGGAAGATTCACCTAGGGAGACACTCCAAAAATATACAGTTTCCAACACAGAGGCTTTGATGGATGCAGCTTGGGGCAGTCTTGACATGTTTGCCGAGCTCATCAAGAGGGCTTTCTCTGTGGGAAGCACTGCCTTGACTAGTGATGTACTCTTCACTCAGAGACTGTGGCTCACACTGGTGCTGAGCTGTGTGCGCTATCTGATGCAGAAGCTGCCTGGGCCACATCAGCATCCAGAAGGCCCCTTTCCAGGTGTCAGCGCACTGGATGCCCCTCCCCACGAGATTTCAATCTGATCCTGGGGCCTTTGTGGACTCCTTCCCAGAATGTCTTCCCAAAGGCCAGGCATGCTTCTAGAGTACCCTTTGTTACCCCAAGCCAAGTGGCAGTTGTTTCTGGCCATGCCTTGGTTGGTGTCTAAGGAGCTTAACATACAGGCATTGCCTTGTGTGTCCTTAAGGAATTGGGAAGGAAGTGTGGGTGGGAGGCAGAGCCGGTTCCCTGTGCCACCGTATATTGGTTCCTTCCTGTCCTGTCCAGGGGTGACTGTTTTTGTTAGGGTAGTGGCGGAGGTTAGCACATATTTCCTGAAGTGACTCCTGGAGCTTGACTCACTACACTGAACTGCTCAGAAAGGTGGCGGTGTGTACTTTAGACCTGCAGAATGCTGGGTAATGATCAGACTGACTAACCCAAAAGGACAGAAGCTATTTTGAGGGTGCGGGAGGGGAGTTTGCTACGTTCTGAGTGGGGCTTTGGAGATGCTGTATCTGGAGCAGTCAGCCGCTGTGGTGGAGTAAAGGCCAGGGAAGCTGGAGGATAGCATTTATCTCTCTGAGCGAGTGGACTGTCTTGGGTGTGGGTGTGTGTTGGGTAGATAAGGTTAGGGCAGATACTTTCATTTCTCATTCTTAGAACTCAGTATTGGGAAGGTTCTGCCTTGTGTCATTTTGGGGGAAGAGAGGTTTGTTGGCATGGCCTGGCATATGCTAAATACAAGTTCTGTTGCTGAACTCCCCACCTCCAGCCCCAAGAACCTGCCTTGTGAAGATAGGCAGCAAAGGGTTCATTGTCAAAGCTTCCCTTTTCTGTGAAGTGTGTGTGTCATGTAGATAGGTTTTGGTGTGCCAAGAAAAAGCCATTGTGATCTCATGGGGACAGAGGCTCTTTCATCCAACGCATCTTGGGCAGAATTACAAGAGTATTTGAGACCAGGAATTCTGATTGTTTTCAGTCTGGGCAAAGAGCAGGAAGGCCAGTTAATAGTGCAGAGTTGCCAAGAGGGGCTCCCCTCAGACATCTGGCAGGGTGTCAGCAGGACCTGCTTTCCTACTGAGGACATTCAGGAAGGGGTGAACACTGCCTGGGAGGTTCATGGACTTACAGCATCTCGCTTCCTCTCGCTGACTGCTGTTTAGGACCAGCACAACCCTTTTATGACATCTGCTAGCCAGGAAGCCTTCCGGACTTGGAGAAGCAAGAAAACAAATAAGGGTAACGGCTCTGGGATACAGCACAGTGTGTTTCCACTTAGTTCAGACTGTAAAGTGCAAGTTGGAAGGAATGGAACAAAAACATTTAGAGAATACTAGTTGCAAATGGCAATTGCTGGTCCTCAGGCAACCAGGGTCCATGTAAAACTAAATTATTTTAGAAGCCTAAAGTTCAAGTTTTTCCTTGTCAGTTCACCTTGGCCACACACCTACCTCCAGGGTCCAGGTCCAGTCAAAGGAATGAATGTTGCAGAATATTTCAAACAATAGATTTATTAGCCCACAGTGCGTGTGTGGGGTGTGTGTGTGTGTGCACAGACATATATGGAGTTCAGAGGATAATCTTAGGTGGTGGATCCTTAGGGTCCTTCTGTCTTCTGTTTGAGACAAAGTCTGGGAATTGACTAAGTTTATCAGACTAGCCTGGCCTAAGAGCTTTAAGGAATCCACTGGTTCCACCTCCCGTCTCCTCATGGTTGGGGATCCTAACCGAGGCTCTCATGCTGACTGAGGCATCTCTACCAGAATTCCTCCTGATGCGACTGAGAGATTGGCAATAGCACCCTAGGGTGGCAGTGAGTGGGGAGGGGGGGAATGGGCTTTGCTGGGAAAACTAGAACCAGGAGTGTACACGGACAGATCTGAAGGGGCCACAGCAGCCCTGCAGAAGCTGCCCAAAGGAGAGGAGGTTCTAGATCTCACCTTACCCTTGTCCTCCAGCATCCTCCAGTTTCTCATTTGGTATCCACTGGTCAAACCCAGGCAGACATGAATTTGAGAAATGGAGTCTCTGGAATGGCTACTCTGTGATAATCTCAAGCATAAACTTGCCCCAGGTCACAAGGGAAATTCTGACTCTGACAGCTTTTTTGTTCATTTTTGTTTATCGAGACAAAGTTTCTCTGTGTAAAAAGTGCTGGAACTTGCTTTGTAGACCAGGCTGTCCTCAGACTCAGAGATTGCCTGCCTCTGCCTCCCGAGTGCTGGGATTACAGGCGTGCACCACCACTGCCTGACTTCTGCCAGCTTTTTTTTTTTTTTTTTGCGAGGACCCGGCTCTGGCACACCATCCGGCTAAGCCCACAGTCCTGGCTGAACATCAGACTGGGTTCCTGACAGCTCATAGTCACATGCGCACTGAAATTGGAGTTCCAGGAGAGTTGGTGGGCCCTCCCTGCAGCTGTCTGCAAGTCAGAGGAACAAGTGTTTCTATGCAGAAACAGATGGCTGCACTATATCTCCTCCCAGCTCTCATAATTACCAACCAGCTGCTGGAGCCTGAAAGGCGAAGGGATCAAGGGTTTGTGGCTTAGTGCTGGTAAAATTTGGAGTGTGGTTCTAGGTGAATGGTGAAATGGGAAGGGCCTGGCAAGAGCAGGAAGCAAGGTCACTGCTGTTTGGGAAGAGTGGATGGATCTCCCTAGAAGAGGAATGGGCCCTTCTGTGATTTTTTTTTTTTTTATTACTCTTTGGTGGCCTGCCAGCCAGCTTGTAAACATCTGGAAACTTATTCTTACTTAAGAATGCCTGGCCTTAACTTGTTTCTTGTTAGCTTTTCTTAAGTTATCCTGTCTACCTTTTGCCTCTGGGCTTTTACCTTTCTCTATTCTGTATACCATTCTTTACTTCTCATATAACATGGCTGGTTATGTGGCTGGGTGGCTGGCCCCTGGCATCCTCCTGTCCTTCTCCTTTTCTTTCTCTTCCCTCTTCTCTTGAGCCTAGACTCCTCCTCCTAATTATTCTCTCTCTGTGTCAGCCCCACCTATCCTTTCTCCTGCCTAGCTATTGGCCATTTAGCTCTTTATTAGACCAGACAGGTGTTTTAGACAGGCACAGTATCACAGCTTCACAGAGTTAAACAAATGCAGCATAGAAGAATGCAACAACACATCCTTGCATCATTAAATATTCCACAGTATAAACAAATCTAACACATCTTCAACTATTATATCCCAACACCCTCCAGTGCTTGGAAGTGGGGGGAAATAATAACGTGTCTATGTGTGCTTAGGGCCAGAGTGAGACAAGGTGAGGAAGGAAGATGGCGGAGATATTGGGAGGCTGCTGAAGGAAAGATCTCACATAGATCTTGGGATTCATAGAATATCTGGTGACTTATTTGGGTGTGTGGGGGCAGTGGGCATAGCCACTGCTTTTGTATGTGGGTATAGCCTGCTGCTTGGTTTTCTTGGGGGCTGTCCTGTCCTTGGAACACTGGGTCAGAGCCCTAAGAGAATCTAGGGACTGAGGGACAAGACCCATCCTTGGTGTCCTCCCCACCCACTCTGAACACTGGGAATCCTGCATGTGTTACATAAAGAGCTTACTCTCATTTCTTTCCCTTTTGCCTACAGGTGGATCTTGAGCGAACCTTTACATTTCGAAACTCAAAGCAGACCTACTCAGGGATTCCCATCATTGTGGCCAACATGGACACTGTGGGGACATTTGAGATGGCTGTGGTAATGTCACAGGTAGGAACTCAACTACGTCACTACATCCTCAGCTTTTTGGCTGTGTGTGCATCAGGTGCCTGGAGTCATTCCTTGCTGAGTCTGATTGTTCCAAGGGACATGCCTTTCCTGCTTCTGTAGTCAGAAGATAGGCCACATATAAACTCTGCCCTCTGTGAAATGGTCTAGCTGTACCTCTGTCTCCTCTGTGAAGACACCTATGATGGTTTTAGAAATTAGGCTTTCAAAAGGAACTTAGGCAGCAGGATGAATGCCATATTGGAGAGGCCCATCCCCTTAAAACCAAGACAGCCACTTTGCATGTAGCACGTAATGCATTGTGTTGGGGGGTGCTATAGTTTATGCTGTAATGTATCTCTCAATTCTTATCATAACTTCGTGGGGGTAGGCTCCTTCTGCAGATGAGGAAACTGAGGCAGACAGAGAAAGAGGAGGGACATCTCGTCCCAGGGCCTTCAGTCAAGTAGAGAGGCAGGACATAACCCCAAAGTGAGTCCAGAATCTGCCGGACACATCTCTAAAATGGATGGACCGCAAGGCAAGTTCAGGGTGCCTTTTGACACATGTCTTGGCCTCAGGAGAAATGGAGGGACACCAGTCATAGGTATTTGCTGCCTCACAAAGCTGTGTGTTGGGGGTGAGAATCTTCCACTTCGGAGACCAGAGTGTCTCCTGATGATGAGCGTGGAGATGTGTATCTGTTTCTGCTCGTCCTGTCTGCCAAGTGTGGAGATAAATGCAATTAGTCGGAAAAGCAGCTCCCTGTGGGTGGCAGGTCTGACTGCAGGAGGCGCTGAATTCGTTATCAAGCCGCGATGAGGGGGGAAGAGAGTCTCAAATTATAAACTCGGAAAGTGGAGTTGGAGGTCATCCACCTGACTGAGGATTGTTGTGTGACTGTCTACAGAGAGGGGTCTGAGGCGAATGAATGAATTGCTAAAGGGATGTGGTGGTTCTTTCTCCCAATTCTTGCTTGTCTTATTAACTTCTCGTAATGATGTTCCGTGCATGCTGTGGCGGGAGAAAGTGTCCTGAAGGTCCATGTGTTAAAGGGATTTTCCTAGGGTAGTAGAGCCCTCAAGAGATGGGGCCTGGCAGGAGGTCTTTAAGTCATTAGAGGAGTGGCCTTGAAAGGGAGTGTGGATCCCCAGTGTCTTCCTCTCTCGCCCTTCCTTCCTGACTGGGGATAAGGTGACCAGTTTTGGTCTGCTCTGTACTCCCGCCATTATATGCTGGCGTGCCACAGCCCCAAGAGCAACGGACCCTTTGACAGAGCAAGCCAAAACAAACCTTTCCTCTGTGGAAAGGTGCCTGGCTATAGTTATCGTTGGTAGCAATTAACAGTATAAATGGGTGTGGGGCTCAGGAAGCAACACCCAAGTCTGGGTTGTCTGTGAGCTTGAGTGGTATCCGTGCATAACCTGGAGCTTGCCGTGCCCCTCCCACTTCCACTGGGAGGTTCTCCGAGAATGCCATCGCCTGCGTTGGCAGAGGTCGTCGTGTGTGGGTTCTGTGAGTTTTCTATTTTTAGGATCCGCAGACAGTGTGAATTAAGGGAGTCAGAGAATTTCAGAGTAAGGCATTGGAGGTGTGTGGTGACTCAGAAGTCAGAGAGGAAGCCTCAGAGGAGGGACGTTTGATGTTGACTGCTAAATGAATTATTTCTTCCTCCTCTGCCCTATGCCCCTCAGCTTGCCCTCTAGCTCTGACTGGTCTTCCACGGCCACCAGACTTCCAATCTCAGCCTTCAGGGCACTACGTGCTAGAGTTTTAGGTGTGGCCCCCTTAGCCAGCTTTGCTATATATTTCTTAACTTCTTTTAAGTCCCATTTCTCTTACAACAATAATTCTGTTCAAAGCTGTTCTGAGAATTCCATGGTGTCAGCAAAGCATTGGCCCCATGGTAATCAAGTCTGGTTCAATAGCCAAAGATGTAGGGTTATTATTTACATAATCCCCTTCCTTCCTAGCTTTCAGCAAAAAGCATTTAGGCTATGTATTAGTGGAGGCTTTAGGTGTAGGGCAAGGTCCTTTGTTTGGCTGAGCAGAAGCTTGCATTAGGATGGTCACACTCCTGGTCTGGGGGACCGTCTACATATGTGTTCTTGACCTGCCTTGGGTGTGGGCAAAAACTAGGTGAGCCAGCTGGGTGGAAAAGCTCCTTTATTCTTGCCTCTTGGCAGACTCTCCCTGGCTGAACACACATTGTCTAAATCCTATCGAAGCGGAGAGCATTTCTGTGATCCCTTGTTTCACCGCATGCACCTTGGTTTGCTTGCTGGCTGCTAGGAACATATTCAGAGCAAATGAGGCCTGAATGGCAGCCGCAGATGGTTTTGTCTGGGGCTTATCTTGCAGGCAGGTGGAGGGCCTTCTTCCCTGGCTCCTTCCTGACAAGCTGTCTTGTTTCCTAGCACGCCATGTTTACAGCCGTTCACAAGCATTACTCCTTGGAAGACTGGAGACGTTTTGCGGAGAACCACCCCGAGTGTCTGCAGGTACGATGATGACGCGTTTTAGTGACAAGGGCCGAGGAGAAGAAAAGTCTTCCCTGATGTCAAAAGTATTTGGAGGCTGGTGGGTCGCTGCCAGAGCATTGCTGAGGAAACCTGCCTCGTGGGGTCTTAGCAAATGCCAGGATGCCCTGTGAGGACAGCTTCGCCTTTAAAAGCATCCGTCACCACAGCCTGGGGAAGGCCTTGCTTCCTGTCAGGAGTTTCCAGGTGAACCCAATCTAAGAGCTTTTTCCTGGCTACAGACAAGGGGTCCTAATTGTAACAAACTGCCTTTTATTTCAATACTCTATACCCCTACTAGGATGGCTGTCATTACAATGTGAGTTATGTTGATGTGGAGAAGTTGGAGTGCTCATGTGTAGTTGGCAGGCGTGTAGGTGCTGAGGCTGCCTTCTCAATGACCTAAAAACTCCTAGTGCTGGGTAGTTTAATGTCAACTTCACACAGTTAAGTCATCTGAGAGGAGGGAACTTCAATTAAGGAAATGCTTTTATAAGATAGAGCTGTAGGCAAGCCTGTAGGAATGTTCTTAGGTAGTGATTGATGGGAGGGTCCAGCCCATTATTGGTGGTGTCATTCCTGGGCTGGTGGTCCTAGGTTCTCTCGGAAAGCCGGCTGAGCAAGCCAGGAGGAGCAAACCTGTAAGCAGCACTCTTCCATGACCTCTGCATCAGCTCCTGCCTCCAGGTTCCTGCCCTGCTTGAGTTCCTGCCCTGACTTCCTTCGAAGCAGAAGCCAGATAAGCCCTTTCATCTCCCAGTTACTTTGGTCATGGCATTTTGTCACAACAATAGTAACCCTGACTAAGACATTCAAGAGAGTAAGTGTGAGTTACCATGTGACCCAGCGGTTCTATTTCTAGAAGAAACGAAACCATGTATTCACACATAGACTTATTCATGAATGCTCATGATATTTACAATAGCCCAAAAGTAGAAAATGTAAACTAAGCAACTAAAATGTGTCGTTGAACAAATAAATGAAATATGATCTGTCAATACGATAGGCTGTTGTTCAGCCACAGAAGGGAAGGAAGTACTGACTCATATTCAAGTGCGAACAAACCTTGAGAACATTTTGCTAAGTGCATACCAAACACAAAAACCAACAAGAATTATTTCATTGATGCTAAGTGCCCATGGTGGGCAAATACTCGAGAGACATGGTTACCTGGGCCTGGAAGCAGGAGGAAGGAATTAAAAGAGTAATGCCTACGGTTCCTCTGGAGCCAGGCCTGGTGCTATAGCCTGTCATCTCAGATACTTAAGAGGCTGAGGCAAGGGAAAATCAAGGTTAGGGGCAGCCTGGGCAATTTAGTAAGACTTGTCTCTGTAATAAGGAGGAAGAAGGAAGCTTGAGATGCATTTCAGCCAGGATTTATCTGTAAGGATTCAAAAGTATATGACACCCTAGATTCAGTACCTGTTAAAAAAATTAAAATCATTTTTGAAACCAGTAAAATATCCTATAATAACGATATCACTGAATATGCTAAAAATCATTGTGTACTCATGATAATGTCTTAGTTTAAGGTTTCTGTTGCTGTGAGAAAGCAGCTTGTGGAGGAATGGGTTTATTCCATCTTACAGAATGTGCATCGTGTCCTCCGTCATCTAAGGAAGTGAGTGTCAGAATTCAAGACGAGCAGGCACTGAAGCAAGTGGAGGCCACGGAAGAGTACTGCTCACTGGCTTAGAATTTGCCTAGCCTACTCTCTTATATCACCCAGGCCTACCAGCCCAGTGGTGGCACTGCCTAGAGTGATCTGGGCCCTCCTGTGTCAATTGTCAATCAAGAAAATGTACCTCAGGCTTGCCTATAGGCCAGTCCGGTGGGGGAATTATTTTAATTGAGATTCCCGCTTCCGAAATGACTGTAGCATGTGTCACGTTGACATAAAATTAGCCAGTCTAGGTGGCTTTCATGCTGAGTTGCTATGTCTCTGTATCCCTGCTCCTCTAAGAAAATGGGTGTTTTAAAATGATATCTATAAGCCCTCCCGTAAGATGACTGAGTTCCTATCCAGTGCATTCTGCTGGTTCTAAGCCAAATCCAGCAGTGAGGTCTGGGTCCGCCTCGTTGTGGGCAGATCATTTATGATGAGATAATGATTTCGAGTACTGCCATGGCTGCTGCTGCTGTCACTATGATTTAATTAGGTGTGGGCTTCCACTACAAAAACGTTAGCTTAGGAGATAAAATAATTCTGGCTCGATATAAAGTTTTTCATTTTGCTATATTGTTCAGAGTATCTCTCCATAGTCTTTGCATATGCCAAAGTCCTTGGTTGCTCAAGTTCTGCAGATAAATCTACATATAGCCTATGCATATTTTCCTATAGATTTAAATCACTTCTATATGACTTGTAATGTCCCATACAATGCAAATGCTATGAAGCTAGGTATTGCAACCTACTGCTTAATAACAACAAAACAGCAAAAAACCCATATCAACCTGGGTGTAGATTTTAAAAATACTTATTTTTATGTGTGTGTTTGCTTGCATGTGTCTGGTGCATTACATGTATGCCTAGTACCAACAGAGACCAGGGGAAGGTGTTGTATCCTCAGGAACTGGTGTTACATATGGTTGTAAGCCTTGGTGTGGGATGCTGGGATCCAAACCTGGGTCCTCTGTAAGAGCAGCAAGCACTCGAAACCACTGAACTATCTCTCCATGCCCTGGTTTTATTTACTTGTTTAAGACATGATGTTTTAGTTTCCCCCCCTCTATTTCTGTGATGACATACTCTGTCAAAAGCAACTTAAGGGAACATTTAATGTGGCCCACAGTTCAAGGGTACAGATTGTCAGGCTAGGGAGGTCAAGGTGGGAGGAACTTGGAGCAGCGAGTCACATGTATCCACAGTCAGGAAGCCTAGAGTGATGAATGCATGTGATGTGGGAGTGATTTCTTATTAATAAAGAAACTGCCTAGGCCCATTTGATAGGCCAACCCTTAGGTAGGCGGAGAAAACAGAATGCTGGGAGAAAGAAGCTGAGTCAGTGAGTTGCCGTGATTCTCCCACTCCAGACAGATGCAGGTTAAGATTTTCCCTGGTAAGCCACCTCGTGGGCTACACAGATTATTAAAAATGGGTTAGATCAATATGTAAGAGCTAGCCAATAAGAGGCTGGAACTAATGGGCCAGGCAGTGTTTAAAAGAATACAGTTTCTGTGTAATTATTTCGGGTATAAAGCTAGCCGGGTGGCGGGAAGCAGCCCACTGCTCCTATTACAACATGCATGCTGCTACTCAGCTCCCTTGCTCCATTTACCTATATCCCAGGATGCCACAAGCCTCCCACCTCAATTACTGTGCACAAGGTAATCTCCCAAAGGCATGCCCCAGAGGCCTGACTCCTAGGTCATTCTAGAATCTCTCAAGTTGACAATACTAACAATCATTTAGTATATGGTGTAGCTCAGACTGCCCTTGAGCTCAATCGGTAGAAGAGAATCACCAACAGCCCACTTCCAGCTGAGGCATATTCCATATCCAGCCACATACATCCTTAACCTGTAAATGTTGTTCTCACTTGTTCTTTCTGGAAACGTCCCATGGTGCCCTTCTGTAAGGTTTCCCCCTAGGATACGTTTGCATCAGTAGCTGCACAGCACAAAGTTCTACACAGCAAGCTTGAGAAAACTGAGTAGAAGCTGAGGACAAGGTCTTGAATATTTCCAAATGTGTTTGCTGGGAGGTTTTGTTGCTGAGTCCCAGCTTCAGGGATGGGTGTAAGTCAAGGGTGGGCAAGAAAACTGGAAGTTTTGGTTGACCATGGAAGGAGCAGGTCTCCTTTTACCTCTGCTGCTGTTTGTTTCTTGAACACAGCCTCTGTGTTTGCTCAGGGTAAACCTCGAGGTTGTCCGGATGGAGGAGCGTCTTCCTTTGAATACAGCTGTTCATGACACCTTCTCTGCTTCATTTTGCTGTAGCATGTAGCTGTGAGCTCGGGCAGTGGGCAGAATGATCTGGAGAAGATGAGCCGCATCTTGGAAGCTGTGCCTCAGGTGAAGTTCATCTGCCTGGATGTGGCCAACGGGTATTCGGAACACTTTGTGGAGTTTGTGAAACTGGTCCGATCCAAATTTCCTGAACACACCATCATGGTAGGTTTGATGGGAGACCCTCAAGGAAGCCAGGAGATGCCATGTACTAGGGGAGGGGTCTGTGCCTTTGCATAGCTTTTGTTGCTAGAGTTGTGAATCCCCAGGAAATGGAAGACCTGAAGAACCAGCTTGCCTTTGAAAAATGAATAGAGTCCTGGTTAACATCGTGGATGTTGGCTCCTTAGTTTTGATAAATTGTCTGTTACCAGATGTGACCTTTAAAAAAAGAGAGGGGGATCTTCACCACCCCTTGGTAGAATGTATTTATTTTAAAATTGGAAGCGCATGCCAGGCTTTCAGTTCAGCATGTTGTCCTCTACCCCAGCCATGCTCGTCAGCAGAAAGCTTTGCCACTAGGGTTAGACTTAGTGACCATAATTTTATGAGAATCAATTAATGATGGTAGCTTGGCTGAGATGGCATTATATCGAAGACCTTTGGTGACTTTTCCATATTTTCCCAACTCTTAGTACCTTTACTCACTCAAGCTGTGTTGATTCTTTCAAGGCTAAAAGCAGGTGGTCATCACTAGAGTTACAGTTGGAATTTCGGGGGACAAAACTTGTATTTATACCTGTTTTTCCTGGTCTTCATTAGTAGGGTATGTGGGAATGACCAGTGCCTGGTTTACCCCTGCCACCTCTGTCTTTTCAAGCCTGTTTGCCTCACGTTTCCCTGTCGGGAAGTTGGTAGAAAAGTATCGTTTCTGCTAGTGGCGTTCAGTGTCTCTTTAGGGGCCTTTCTTTGCTAAGTTGCTTTTGGCCATGGTGTTTTATCACAGCCACAGAAGATTAAGTAATACAGAAATCACCTCATTGGAAGAAATTGGGTCAGGGTCAAGGTATTCCCCTTCAAAGACATGCCCTTGTCCACATACTTTCTTCAGTGCGGTCTCAGTTCTTTATGTAGCCTGCCTCCCTATGAACTCATCAGTGAATTAATTCACTAGTGAAGCCAGTACCCTCTTGATCCAGTCACCTCTCGGCAGTACCTCCAGCTAAGGACTGAGTCTTCAACACCTGAACCTCTTAGGGAGCCCCTTCATACCCTTGCTGGTACTTCCTGAGATTGACTTCTTTTTTTTTTTTTTTTTTTTTTTTTTTAGTTTATCAAGCTGCCAAAAGCATCTTTCTATGTTGAGTCTTTGACTCAGATTCCTGACCTAGCTCCTCTTAGGTCTTACCCTCCCTTGAGACAGATCTTCATCCGACTTCTCTACATCCTCTGCAGACTTTGCTGAGCTAGTAAGCCAGCCACTGTGTGGGAGTCTGTGAGCTGCTCCAGCAAATGACCTGAGAAGGCGGTCATCAAACCTTTGGATTTAAAACCAAGATAGCTAGGAGCTACAGGTAGCCTACTGCTCCTGGTTGGGACTAAGCTCAGGTCGATGGGATCTGACACCATTTCCATCTGATCTGTGGAATCTGACAACGATCTCCATCAGATCTCTGGGATCCGATACCATTTCCATCCAATCTCTGGGATCTGACACTATCTCCAGGTACCATCTGAACAGAGTTAAATTGTAGGACATTCTGCTGGGAATTCTTTAAGGCTTGGGAGGACACCCATGTGTTTGTTGCATGCAAGAGTAAGAGTTTAGCCTTCCCCTACATCCATAAATATTCAGCCTATTTTAGGGAGGTGCCAGGTTCCTCTCCTGTTTCCAACATCTTGGTGAAGACTAGGAACAGTTATCTACTACAGACCAGGAATCTTAAACTGATTTATGAGGCTGGAGAGATGGCTGACCACTCTTCCAGAGCACCTGGTTTCAAATCCCAGCACCCACCCACATGCAACTCAACACTGTGTGTCTCTAACTCCAAGATCTGTCATTCTTACACAGAATTACCTGCAGGCAAAGCATATAAAATAAAAGGGAATAAATTTGAAAACCAAAAAGCTCAGATTTGTTTTTAGGTTTGGGGATTTATAATCAATGCTGCATTAACAAAACTGCTTTTGGAAGGAAGCCCTGAAGGGAGAGCCCATCCGCTATGCTGGCTGCACGTTCAGACTTGGTGACATCCCCTTGTCCTTGTCTACCTGCCATCGCAGTATGGGGTGAAAGGTACACTAGCTGGGGGGACTGACTTTGGGCCTGCACTAGAGTATGGTAAAGTTGCTGTCCCTTCCTGTGTCCTGGTACCACTCAGGCATACCTGGCGCCCAGGCCCTAGCCTTTGTGGTACCTTTCTTCCAGGCCACTTGAAAGAGGGAAGAGAAATCTGCAATTCCAGAATGACAGAAGCCCCGATCCCCAACAGGGATGTGGTGACCGTGAATAGCACTTGACAGTAAACTTAACTTCTCTGATGCCAGGTCAGACATAGAGAAATCTCAACATGTATTTGTTGGAGATACGGTGCCCTTCGTGGCTTCCATGAGACAGGGAGAGAAGGCTGCTGTGATCCGGAGGGGTCTGGAAGAGTCTGGAGAGGTGGGATCTACCTCCCCTGCTTTAGTTGCTCTGCGAACATAGAGGGTTAACAGCTGAGAGACTGCTTCCATTTATTACCCTCACTGCATGCAGGTTGCTTCCAGAGGATTAATGGGAAATGATGCAGGCTTAAGGAGGTGGCTTAGTGGTTCTGTTTCACATCTTTGGTAACCTTATAAATTATGAACAGTGCATAAACAGGGACGTTTAATAGGGAGTTATAAGCCCTACTTCAGTGACCCTACACCCGGAGGCCCCCACTCCTCACCTCAGGTTTTCTCATAGTGACTGCTTCCCGCTTGGCAGCTGTCTGATGTTGCCACCTATGCATTTCTAGAGATGGCTCAGCGGTTAAGAGCACTGCCTGCTCTTCCAGAGGTCCTGAGTTCAATTCCCAGCAACCACATGGTGGCTCACAACCACCTATAATGAGATCTGGTGCCGCAGGATACTGTAAAAAATAAATAAATAAATAACACCGCTTGAGTCAGTCTGGTTCAAGTTTTCTGTGAATGGCCAGGCCTTCCATGTCATCTTTGGTCCCATAGTGTATTTGACACCCTCCCTGCTGTTTTCTCTGCTGGGTCTGTGGTTGCAGAGACTGAAGGCCATAACTACTGCCTAGCAGCCCTTCTGGCTCCAGCCTCCTGTCTCCACCTGGGAACTAGTTGCAGCGCTGTTGAACCCTCCAGTCCAGTGTCCTGTCTGACTCCATTCCGGCTGCTGTCAAAATACTATATACCCAGTGACTGATAAACAGCGGAAACTTGCTGGATGTCCAGGACCAAGGTCTGCCACTGTCTGGTGACTCTGCTCCTGAAAAGGTGATTTGTAGGTATATCCTAGTTGCAGACACGTCCACACGTGCTCCCTTGGTCCTCTTGAAGGAGAAGTCATCCCATTTATGAGAGCACCTTCTTGAAGGCCGTATTTCTTCATCTTAGTGTCCTGAGGCTTAGGTTTCAGGATATGGCATTCGAGAGGACACAAGACATTCAGACCACAGCATTCCTGAAGTCCAAGGGCTCATGACCTGAGCCCTACAGGAAAAGGGAAAAGGAGTTTGAGGACACTAAGAAATGGAGAATAACTGTGGGGGTCACATAGCACATGCTATGGTTTTTTTTTTTTTTTTTTTTTTTTTTTACCCATACAGTGAACCCCAGTAGTTGCTCAGTTGCTTTTAGGTAGTACATTGCATTGAAAGCCTGTCCTCTGAGTAGTGACTCATGGAAGAGAGGTGGGACCTGGGCAGTGGGATTGCTTTAAGAAGGAAAGAGAAGGGGCAGGGGTATGGAGTGCTTGCCATGCAAGCATAGCGACCTGAGTTTGAGTCCCAGAAACTATGTAGAAAAAGAAAACAAAAATGGGTACATGTGACCTCAGTGCTGGGGAGGTAGAGACAGGGGAGTCCCTGGAGCTCCCTGGTAAGCCAGCCTAGCTGAATGGGAGCACATCCAGTAAAAAAGGAGAGGCCCCCATCATGAAAAATAAGGTGGATGGTGTCATGAGGTTGACCTCTGGCCCCCACACTTAGGCACATACTTGTGCGTTCTCATATATACACATACAAACACACAAAAATAAAGATAGGCCCCACTTCTCAAGCTGTTGCAAGCTTAAAATGGCAGGCTGGTGGTGAGGGCCGCACTTGGCCTGTTTGCAGACTGAGGTGAACTGTGTGCCAGGCTCAAGAACAAAGACGAGGGGAGATTGGGAGGACAGGAAGGAGTGGGGGATGGGAAACAGGGAAAGCCTGTGCTGCAAGTGCACAGCCAGGGGTTGCCAAGCGGGAGCCAGGCAGAAAGGGGTGGGTAGTAAGTTCCCAGAAGCCTCTAGGCAACCTCCAGCAGCAGGGCTCTGCAGTGCCTGCTGGCTGGCCAGGAGGAGTTTCGTGGCTCTGCTTGGTTTCCACAGCAATGAACTGAAGACTTTGGCAAGGTAGATGTTTATTCCTAAGCTATTCACTGCCTGCGCTGACCCCTGGAATTCTCCAGTTGACGCTCATGCCTTTGGCTCTCTGCGGTTTGGAAAATGTTAATTTCTCTTCTCCGGCTTCCAGAGGCACTGTGGGGAGGAATTAGCATTTGCCCGGTGTTCTTGAGCTGAAGGGTACTAGGTGAATGCTGAGTGCTTTTAGAATCATTGCACAAGCAGGCGATTCCTGGCCTCGCACCAGGCCAGGGCTCCTTGCCTTGCTGTTCACCCCTGGCCAACTGGGGAAGGGAAGGCAAAGGTGCTGGCTGAGGGGAGGGGCTAACTATTCCTTGGTATTTTCCTGCTCAACATTCTAGATGCTTTTAATTGGGTTAATACAGACTCGGCATGTCTATTTTCTTTTCCTCTCTTTTTTCTTTTCTGATTTCGTTTTTGGGCATTGAACCTGTGGTTTCATACGCTTAGACAGGGATGTTTTTATTCTGCTCCCCTCAGCCCTGGATGGAACCCAGGGCTTTAAAAATACTAGATGAATGTTATACTAAGTCACACCCCCAGCCATCTTTGTTAATGTTTAGAGACAGGACCTCACTAAGCTGTCTCCACTAGCCCTAAATTTGTGATCCTATTGATTGCCTTCATATATTGGTTGGATTATAGGCGTGTGCCACCAGGCCCGGGCATCATTTCATTTTTGTCTAGGGCCTTGAAGCTGGAAGTTGCCTTGCTTCCCTGGGTCTATTAATCTGCTTTCCAACAAAAAAAAAAAAAAAAAAAAAAAAACCTGAGAAAAAGTGAGGTTTGTTTTGGTTTCGGGTTTCAGAAATTGCAGGTCATGGTCATATAACTCTGGGTCTATGTTGAGGTGAACATCATGGCAGGGTGTATTTGGTAGAGTAAAACCACATACCTCATAGGGAAGCAGAGACTCGGAGATGAAGGTGGCTAGGGATGAGACACACCCTAAGGACATGTCCTCAGCACCCACTTCATCTAACCAGACTCTGGTCTCCTGAAATTCCCACATCCTCCCCCAAAGAACTTGAGAAGTCAGGAATTCATCAATGGATGAACCTATTGATACAATAGCACCCTCAATTCCCCCAAGTCCCACCTGCCAATACTGCTGCATTGTAGATGTAGCATTTGCCTATGAGCTTTCAGGATATTTTGGATATCTCATGACCCTGGGATAGTGGGGGTGCCTGACCGGAATGGCTTCCTGCCTGTCTCTGTGCCTCAGATCAGGGCACATAGTCCAGGAAGTGAACAGGCATTAAACTATCACAGTTACAGGGCGCATCATGCTTCCAATGGACTGTCACACACTCAAGCCTGTGTCCATTCCCTACACAAGGTGCTTTGTACTGACATAAAACACACTCACTTAATGACCCTGACCAGCCCCTCCCTGCCCACAGACCTCTGGTCCGTGACCAAGGGGCCACCTGTGTAGAACTGGAAACTTCATGCCAAAGCCTGATTGCTATTTCTATTTCTGATATGGTCTTGTCTTCTTTTGTCTGAACCGAGTCTCTGTGATTTCCAGATGATCCATTCCTGTGGGAGAAATTCACAGTTTTTCACTTTGGGAAGGATACATCTTGCTGGCTAACTCTTTGGTCATCCTTGTGATGGTTTCACTGAGAGAGAATCTCGGAGCTCATGGGACATACCCTCTTTTGTGGTCTCATTTTTTTTTTCCAGGAAACCTATGCAAGAAAGGACATCTCACCAGTAGTGAGAGCTTATGTGATACTTTCTTCTTAGTATTTTATGTCTATAACCACTGATGATTTGATATATGAAAATCAGGCTCACAGTGGCACATTAATATTTGTTACTACTGAAGTTGAGTACACTCCCTGATTTGATCAGCGTTTTTTCTTATGGCGCTCCTGAGTTCTGCATATGTTCCAGCCGGTCACCCTTTGTCACAGCTACACGTGCTTTTCTCTAGCTGGCTCTTTGTTGGTTGGATCATCTACTCTCATGCATTTCGTTTTTGTGTAGATGGTTCTAATTCTGCCTTTACACTCCCCAGCTGAGTTTACAGGAAAACAGCGCTACCTTTAACCCTGTCCCAGTCCTCCTCCTGTGACATCTGCCATGCTTTCTGTTGGCAGCTGGGGCTCCCATTCAAGCTGGCCTTGTCACCTCTTTCTCACAACTTTCTTCTGTGAAGTTCAAGTTATTTTAAGTTAAAAAAAAAAAAAAGAAGATGATTTCCCTCAGGGAGTTAATTTAGCGAAAGGCCACTTGGACTTTGGTGGGAGTACAATGAGCAAGGCTGCATTTTTGCAACATGGGACTTTGCCCGCTTGTGAACATCCAGTCAGGGCATGTTGCCAGGCATCCTGAGTACCAGCTGAAGACGCCATGGGGGCAGTGAGTTGTAATGAAAGGCCTATTTTTGCTCCCTCAAGCTCCTGCAGTCAGAGAGCTTGTACTATTTCCAGCGCAGATGCATTCTCGCGCTTGATGGATTCTGCCACTTCCTGGCTTGCGGGTCTATTCTTAGGGCCGAGGCTTCACTCCATTTGTAGACAGAGCCTGTGCCAGTGGCATGCGGCCCAGCAGGGCCTGCCTGCCCTTTTCTACCAAGGTGGGAACCCCAGCCCTAGGGCCAGACACTCGGGTGTTTTCTCAATCGCTAGAAGGTCCATTTTCTAACCGTGACTTTCTGGGTTCTGTAGAGATTCTCCAGGGCTTTCACAGATGCCAAAGTAGCTTATGCCCATTGCTAAGGGGGTTTTGATCAGCTGACTGTGTTTCATTGCTTATGGATTTGGGGTTCCCTAGAAGATTTTGTTTTGATCTGACCAGTGTTGAGATGTTCCTTTAGTCTGGCCTGTATATTCTTAGATTTCCTGTGTTTCTAAACATTCTGCTTTCCGGTAGCTTCATATATCATTAGTTCACCCAGGTGACTTTCCCAGAAGGGATCTCCTGGTATCGGCTTCTGCATTGGAATTTACACGAAGAGAAAGCCAGGAACATACTCGCTGATTCCCAGACTTACCACCTTCAAAATTGGATGTAGTGTTTTCTTTTTGTCTCCTGGAACCCTGGTAGCCTTAATACACACATACCCTTGGGTCAGGAGTGAAACTTCCCACTGACCACCCCACAACCCCTGTACCTCACCCCCACCCCCAAGAGTCATTTCCTGTGATGGAGAACTGTGTTCTTCTTGTCACAGGCAGGAAACGTGGTGACAGGAGAGATGGTGGAGGAGCTCATTCTCTCTGGAGCAGATATCATCAAAGTGGGAGTTGGACCGGGTAAGACCTGTTGATCTGAGGAGGGCTGTCTTTGGGGAACAGGGGACTGGGTAAGACCTGTTGACTGCAAGAGGGCTGTCTGACTCATAAGACTCACAGGAGGGCTGTCTGCGGGGAGCAGGGGACTGGGTCAGACTGGTTGATCCCAGGAGGGCTGTCTATGGGAAGCAGGCTACTGGGGCTTGGGCTTCTGGAGGTGGCTACATGGGAACCATGAAAGACAGCCAGGGGCTCAGGACACATTCTGTGGAAGATCACTGAGTGTCTCCATGAAGCGATGTCCCCGAGCTGCTCCCTGATGACCTTCTCCATGAGCAGGCATGTGCTGTGGGATAATCTTTTTGTACACTGTGAAGATGTGTCTCTGTTTTACCTCATAATTAATAAAAAGTCTCCATGTCATTTTTCGGGAGCTGGTGGTCCAGAGAAAGTCCAGTACAGGCACGTAGCTGAGTTTTGAGGCCCTGCTTCAGCATGTTTGTGTAGAAGAGCAGGCTGTGCAGATCCCTGAAGAGGAAGGTCAGGCTAGGAAATACATGAGGACAGTGAACGAACAAGGATGGCTGGGCTCATGTGAGTGTTGGAAGGATCCCAGACATTGTAGACAGGCCCGTGACTAAGCGTCATCATTTGAACATGACCTGTGGCCCACATTGACTCCCCACCTGATAACTAATCCACCTCTTAGACACTAGGGCCACCCGCGGGGCCTCTTGAAGGAACCAAGTAAAGTCATTTCAGCCTTAATGTGTGAGTAGCTGTTTCTTCTGGGCCTGGCTGGCATTTGTCTTCCTGTTTCCCTCACCCAAGCATGCATTCTCACCGCCATGTTTTAAAATTCTGCCCTGGACAGCCATTATTACCTAGACACTAGCATTGGAGAGAAGAAAAAAAAGAAGATAGACACTTTATCTGGGACTAAAAATAACAGCAGATAGACTGCCCCCCCCCACTAAAAAATAACAACCTTCTACCCCCCCAAAGACAATCTTAAAAAGGAAGCAGAGAGGAAGCTCCTGTAAGGGGCATGTGGGTAAGTGCTGCCATAGGCGGATGACCTCTTGTGCTGTAACCTAGCGCGTGTCAGTGTATATATTGAAAACCGGTCCCGTCTGCTCACAAAGCGTGCGGGCTTCTAACCTTCAGGAAGACCTCAAGCCTGACTGTCTTCCTGTGGTTTTCCTCACTGCCACCCACCTAGGCAGTGCGTAACTTTCTGAGCAAGATACGCAGTCCCTGGTCTGCCCCTCCAGCAGCACACGGAGACCCCACAAGACATGCCGCAGGAGGTGAGCAAGCTGCAGAGCAGGAGGGTGGCGGTGACTCACTCACGCTTGAGTCCCTGCATTCTTTCCATGCTATTTATAGCGCTCTCAGGCATGAGGCTCCTTCTCCGTGTCAGGTTAGCCGAGGGTGAAATCTCCACAGCTTACTATCCAGCAGAGAAAACAGTCCCCAGAACTCCTACACAAATATTAATTGAAGCGGGATTCTCAAAAGACAATGCAATACGCAGCTTCCCTGGGGCAGTGACATTTCAGATGAAGTCTGACAAATGAAAAAGGGTTGCCTGGACAGTAGGGAATGTTAGGTGGGTGGTGGAGGGGAGAGTGAAGAGAAGAAAGGAAAGGAGGGGGGGGACGGGGAGGGGAGGGAAAAACTCAGTATAGAGAACCCCTGAGGTGAGAAGAAATTTGCTGAAAAGTCAGTGGTAAGCGCACAGGGAAAGAGGGGCAGATAAGATGGGAGGCAGGTGGGGCACTGAGGTGGGTACTCACTTGCTTTGGGGATAAGATGAGATTAAAGTGGGAACAGGCGACATAGGATCAGGATACTGGTGTTCTCCTGGACCCAAGAGAACACAACCAGGACTGAATGGGACATCAGGACAGGAAGAGGCAAGGGAGAAAGATATCCGTGTGTTGGCATGACTACTGAAAGCCAAGCTGACCTCAGGTCTGGGCTGAGTGGGGACTCAGGCCAAGGAGATGAATGGAAGCTGGGCTATGTTTGGCCCAGGATTGAATACATAGAAAAACAGTTATAGGGCTTCCTCCTCCCGAGGGTTTGTGAAGATCAGGCCCAGGGACAGGCCCTTCTTTTCCCTAATACAAATGTGCTCCATTATAGCCACACCAGGTAGGTGTTGGATTTCCAGCCTCCTAGGCTGAGCAGTGGAGTGTGGAGAGTAGCTTGGAGAAGGCTGGGGGGATTCCGAGTGAGCTCTGGAAGTGGAATCTGCATATGTGGAAGAGTGAAGGATGTGTGGAAGAGAGAGGAAGCTAGAGCCAGTGTTCCTCCATTGCCGGGGAGTAGACATCGCAGCAGAAGGGGCACTGAGGGTTTGTGAGAGATGATGTCTAGGACGTTTGCCAAGGACAGTGGTGAAGACTTGAGGGGCGCATGTGGCCAGTGATGTGGTCCCCATAGTGAGACCTTGTAACTACAAGCACTTATCCTGCAAGCATGCCCACGGCTTCACTGGGGCAGGGCAATATGACTGTGAAGGGCATCATTTTATGTTGTGTTCTACTCATCCGAACCATCCCTGCATATACCTCTCCTTCTGTGCAGGTTCTGTGTGCACTACCCGAACCAAGACAGGAGTGGGCTACCCCCAGCTGAGTGCCGTAATAGAGTGCGCTGACTCTGCCCATGGCCTCAAGGGGCACATCATCTCTGTAAGTATTAGGAGGGTTTGGAAGCTGTGGGGACCATGGGGAGATCATGACTGTGGCCCTGGCCCTCAGGGACCATGCTGTCTTCAAAGAACCTTTTTCCAAATACTGTCACATTCTACCTGTGTTAGGGATTTGGATGTTAGGATGAATTTGCGTGGGGCTGACATAGGCCATCATATCTCAGATCCGGGAGTTGGGAAATGCTTTGGGAAGTGATAGGAAAGGGGGGTGGTTTATTCCAGATAAAATGGTATAAGGGAGCTGAAGAACATTTATGAAACAAGAGGACATTTAAAAAGACCTCAAAGTCACCATTTTGGAGTGGTGACCTGGGAGGGGGCAGAAGAATGTGTGTCACCGATGAATTCCAGGGCGACTGTGGGCAAGAACTCTGGGGGACATGTGGAAAGCTGGGCTTTCTTCCAAGTGTAATAGGAAGTCATCAAAGATGTCAGTGCAGAGGGCGAGTGGCTTGTCTTATAGCAACCAAATCAGGCTCCTTTGGGAAGGATTGGGAAGGGACAGATGAGGGAGGAATCTAGCTAGGAAGGTACAATTCAGACTGGAGGTGACCAAGCCGTCCACTAAGGACTGGGCAGCAAGTCTGCAGAGTCACACCCCAACACAAAGAGTGTTTAGGGAACAGAACTAAGTCTTGGCAGTGGAGTTGGTATTTGTGGGGCTGGTAAAGGAGGAAGAGTCCGATTCTGCTGCATATGCTGGTTCACAAGAATGAGAAAAAAATTCACTTTGGTTTTGTGGCTTCATGTTGATTTTTGAGGGACATGACAGGCACTGAGGAGGATTCATGGGCTGGAGACCTGGCAGCTGAGGAGCCCATTGGTCTTGGGAATCTATGTATGGCTGAGGAAGCAGGAGGGTGAGCAGATGAGAGGCAGACCTCAGACCTTGTGTCAGGGGCATCTAACAGGAGGAGCGAGTGAGCTGAGGTCTGTGGGTGCTTCTGCCTCCCCTGTCACTTGTGGAGGGCATGGGAATGAAGGAGTTGAGCATGGTGCCAGCATTCTGACAGAGCTCCTGAACAATGATGTTGCTCACCATCTTTAGCTATCAAGTGTTACTAAGGATTGAGTGATTGAATGACAAGGTGCGGTGGGTTCTTCCTTCTGTGCACCTGCTCTACACCATGCCCTGAGCCACCATGCCAATTGCTGGCGATAGGTTTGCGAGTTGAGCTGCTCACTCTGGGCTCATGTTGTGGTGAACCATGGCACCTGCTTGTGGAGCCGAGATGGATGGATAGATGATGTGTCCGGTTGTTTCTTGGTATTCTCAAGCAGTGGACTCCAGCTCTTCTCTGGAGCACACATTTATTGAAGTAGCATGTAAAACACTGACAGCATCGCGAATCTGCATTTGCAAGCAAAGGCCTTTAATCCAGCTGGAACCACCCGGGAATACCAGGCTCTAGTCTGCTTATGACTCCAAGCCCCTGTCAGGAACTAGCTGTGAGGATGCTTCCAAGAAGCTTGTGTTTATACCTACCCATTCCTGGACTCTATAACGTTAACTCTTTCCGAGGTTAGCCTGGTTGTATAACTTTTCCAGGGGAGATGGGAACGAGCATTTGTTTACACCAGATTAGGCACAGACGCCAGAACAGAGAAATGATCCCACCCATAGCCAGCTTGGTGAGCCAGTGGTTATGGGGCTTGCTTACAAGGACATGGTTGAGGAGGATGTGTGTCTCAGAAACAGCTGCATCACTGCCAAGTGCCACCCGGATGTGAGTGACCACCTCCCAGATGTGACTTAATGTAGCTGCGGTCCCGAATGCAGTCAAACCTCCTAGCTCCTTTATAATCCAAAACCACACACAGCTGGGCAGGAATGCGTGAGTGGCTGGGCTTTCACTCTCATCAGACCCTCCCCACCCCTTCCTTCTGGGAGGACTTGGCCTGATCTTGTAAGGGTCACACGGTCAAGTCATCACAGTTGTTCCAATGTTGCGACGTTAAGGACTGTCTACTAGCAGGAGGACAGCCCCAAAGCCTCAGGTGTGATTGTAAGTCTCCATTACCGGTGGTCGTTGCCATCAGGGGTCACATATTTTGACCTCACATCACATACAGGTCGTGAATGGCTCCTGCTAGCAATTGAGAGGAGGTTATACCATGTTAGTACATCTTTCTTAGGATTTCTATGGCTGTGATAGAACACTACGAGCAAAAGGAACTTGGGGAGGGAAAGGGTTTATTTCAGCTTCCAAGTCCACATCATAGTTCATCACCAAGGGAAGTCAGGGCAGGAGCTTGGAGACAGGAGCTAATGCATAGGCCATGGAAGAGTGCTGCTGACTTGGACCGCATAGTTTGCTCAGCCTCTTTCTTATACCACCCAGGGCCAGCGACACAGGGGTGGCACCACCTACAGTGAGTTGGGCCTACCCACATCAAAAACCAATCAAGAAAATGCTACAGACTTATCTAGAGGCAGATCTAATGGGGACATTTTTTCAATTGATAGTCCCTCTTCTCAGATGAGTGTAGTTCAGTTGTTCTCAACCTTTCTAATGCTATGACCCTTTACTATATACATAGTTGGTGACCCCCAACTATGATTATTTCATCACTGCTTCCTAACTAAAATTTTGCTACTGTTATGAATTGTAATATAAACATCTAACATGGAGGATATCTAATAGATGATCCCATGGGGGTTGTGACCCACATGTTGAAAACCATTGCAAGGTTGACAGAGACCTAACCAGGACAAGGTCTTACTATAGGCTCGTTCAGACACCATCCTTATGTCTAAAAACTTCGAACTTCCCAAAGATTGGGGTATGGTGGGGTAGACATACACATGCCTCCCAGGTGACTAAAGGGAGGTCACCCACCTTCTGTGCACAGCATCACATCACAGTTAGCCTAACTTGGCCATTCTGCAAGGCAATGACAGCTTGTTAGAAAGTCTTGGGCCCTACCCCAGACCTGATCAACTAAACCAAGAGCTCAGAAGGTGAGCCCAAGGATCCCTCTAGATCCTCCCCCACCTGTCCTTGACCTTGAGAACCACTGGTTTCTACAGAGGAGATTAGGCCTCACTGGATAGTTCCAGAGCCAGGTCCCACTTGGAGTACTGGGAGCCACTTCTGTGTAGATTAGCAGTGGTAACAGCCCAGGCCTGCAGTACTGTTGCTATGTGAAGAGTGTACCTAGTAGCCTAGCCATGTGGGGTCTGTTCAGCAGGCAGTGGAACCAACAGGCCAGGCTTCAAGTGTTTCTGTCATGGCCCACACGGGAGGAGGCAGGGAGAAGGACTCCTGATCCAGTCATGATATTTCAGGCAATGTTCAAGGTGTGACCAGTTAATTGTCTATTTGCATCATCATTTAGAAAGATCTAACCAAATCTATTAAATAATTAAATTTTGGGAGGCTCGGCGAATTCACCAATAAATTAGTACTTAACTTAGGGAAGTCTGAGGAATGCCAAATAAACACGAAGAAGAAAACTAGAAATCATTCGGAAGGCTGTCTGCAGGGGTTGTTCTAATCTCATTTTCCCACTGTTACAGCTGTGGGGTTCTAGGGGCGTCAGTCTCTCAGCTGTGTGGTCTTAGGAGAACCACGGTTTCTCAGCTCTGTGGTCCTAGGAGAGCCACGGTTTCTCAGCTGTGTGGTCCTGGGAGAGCCACAGTTTCTCAGCTGTGTGGTCCTAGGAGAACCACGGTTTCTCAGCTGTGTGGTCCTAGGAGAGCCACGGTTTCTCAGCTGTGTGGTCCTAGGAGAGCCACGGTTTCTCAGCTGTGTGGTCCTAGGAGAGCCACGGTTTCTCAGCTCTGTGGTCCTAGCAGAACCACGGTTTCTCAGCTGTGTGGTCCTAGGAGAGCCACGGTTTCTCAGCTGTGTGGTCCTAGGAGAGCCACGGTTTCTCAGCTCTGTGGTCCTGGGAGAACCACTGGCATTCTCTCAGCCTTGTTTCTCTACCCAGTTCAAGATACCAACCTTAGAATCTTGACTTTGAATGAGGAACTGAGTAAGTTTAGAGTATCTTTCGACCAAGGAAAGTATTTGAGTCCTTAGTCATCATCCGTGCCCCCCCCCCATCCTGTTCCCTTCTTGCTCTCACCATCCTCTATTTCAGAGGTCTGAGCCATAATGTGTGCTTGGGTGCACGTGTTGCATAGGAGGTCAGAGGTCAGCCATGAGTCACAACTCTCAGGCACTTTCCATCTTTTGTGTGAGACGACATTTTTCATTGGCCTGGGACTTTCCCATACAGGCCAGGTCAGCTGTCTGGTGAGTTTCTCCAGGCTTTATCTATGGCAGTGCTGAGGTTGTATGTGTGCTGTTGAACCCAGCTTTTATACCTGAGTTCTGGGTCTTCAAACTCAGGACCTCACAATTAGGAACCAAATGCTTCACCAACTGGGTAACTGCCTCAGCCCCTGAGCAATTCTTTTTAAGCATAAGAGGCCCACTGAAAACTTATGAAACAAATCACTTACGTCCCATAATACCTTTGTCCTTCAATATCATGTTACCCATGCTGAAAGACAAAACAAGAAACACTTGTTAGTTGCTGCTTTGCAGATTTTCCCAGGGCTAGCTCTTTCTACAGTCTTCCGGCAGCCTGGTCTACAAGAGCTAGTTCAAGGACAGGCTCCAAAACTACAGAGAAACCCTGTCTCAACCCCCCCCCCCCAAAAAAAGAAAAAAAATGCCTTGCTACACTTGAACACAATTGCCCCCCAACTTGAGAGGCGTGGTTCCTACAGGTGCATACTGTGTTCTCTTTCTAACCCAAACATCCAGCTCCACATAGCTGGCTCTTACCTTCTGGAGCTGGGCCTTTTCGTGGAGGACCGTGCTGAGCCTTGCCTACATCCCTGTCACTTTATCCCACCTGACCCCATCTCTTCTCTTTGCTTCCTGGGTTGTCCTGTGTTTTCCTGATGCCCCAGAGCACCGTCACCCTCCTATGTCTGTATCATCCAGGATCTGTTGGAGCTATCAGGTAGCAGTCTGGGCCTTTAGGGTCTGTTCATAAGGAAACATGTGAGAGCCCCATCTTAGGAATTTAAAACTGGGTTGCAGTAGCCTGAGGTTGCAACTGATCCCCACTGCCCAGGAGGACAGCCTGTGTTGTGTGGGCAGAGTACATGTTGGCAGTGAGCTCTTATTTAAGGACACGATGGACTGGAGACACAAGGCAGCTGAGAAGATAAAGAAGCCAGGTCTATGCCCTTTTCTCGGCTCTTAAAATAATCTAGCACTCAGACTAAATAAATCTCACCTTTCACCAGGCAGGGAGGGAGGAGTGGCTTCAGGAAGGAGCAGGGACCATGGGGTGGCTGGGCAAGTTATGTAACGGTCTAGCAGAGGACAGTGGTTAGTCTGCCACACTTGGTTCTCCTCCCCAGACAAGGGTACTTGAGCCCAGATGGAGGAGGGGCTGGCATGCCAGTCTATAGCCATCAGAGAAAGGATGTGGTTTGGGACCCGAAGTGCCAAGGATAGTACCTTAGTTAGAAAGTCAGCCTCCACGTTCTTGGGCCATCTTCTTGGCTAGGGGTGGAAGGTGGCTCCTGGTCACTTTATTCTCATGGGTGAGGCATGGTCTGGCTTGTCCCCTCCCCCCACCTTACTGATCCTCTCCTTCCTTTCTTTGAAGGATGGAGGCTGTACATGTCCAGGAGATGTCGCCAAAGCCTTTGGTAAGTGCCAGGGACAGCCCTGTTATTGGAGGAAAAAGGGAAGGAGGGGCTCTGGGCAGTCCGGAAGAACCAGATGGAAGAGGGAACCCCTGAGGGGCTTCTGGGCTTATCGGGAGTTTTCTTTGCCTGGATTTCATTCCCATCTGACAAAATCCTGGCTCAGTTTTGGTTCTGGTCTGTAGCTGAGCAAGCTGGGTGTTCAGAATGGGGATCTGTGGTGAAGGCAATGCCAGCCAGAAGCGGGTCAAATTGTGATGGTTTCATGAGAATGAGAACGCCCAGGGCACCAGTGGCCTTGCGCAGTACTTGGTCTGTTGTGAAGAGACCACCAGGTGGTTTTGGCTCAACCTGAGTCCCCACCTCATCCTGGCTGGACCCAGTCTTGGCAGGAGGCTGGTCAGCCTACTTCCCACTAGAGGGCAGCAGTGCCCACTGTAACCCAACAGAGCTCATAGGGCCTCTGGGGTCCTGGTATTTGCTCCACACTGTCCAATATCTCAACAAAAGAGGCAGGGTGGTAAAACAGGACTTCCGAGCCCTATGCTGGCTGCTTAACTTTCCATAATCCTTATAGAAACCAGAACTAGCTGCCCAGCTCTGAACTGTTAAGTGGTACACTACACCACACGCACGCACGCACGCACGCACACTGGAAACTTTCTTAGTGATAAAAACAAAAGTTCTCTTTTTAATACTTGGATGTGTGCAGGCACCTGCACGTGGATGCCAGGGGACACCTTATTGGAGCCAGTCTCTCCTTCCACCATGTGGATCTGGGGGATCAAACTCAGGTGTTTAGGCTCGGCAGCAAGTGTCTTAACCCGATGAGCCATCTCACCAGCCCCTGTTCTGTCTTTAGAGACAGAGGAGCAGGCAGAGAGTTCCTGTTGGCAGGGTTTCTTAGCAACCCCAAGTATACCATAAAAAACCCAAGTGGCCTAGGTCAGCCGTAGAAGGAAACATAAACCTCTGTCTCTTCCATCTTGCCTGGCTTATGGTCCAGAGGACAGAGGCCCCAGGAGAGAATGACATGGTCATAGTCCTACAGTTCAGGGCAGAGAGAACTCTTGCTTTCTTGGCCATATCCTTAAGCATCCTTTATTGTGTGGTGCTTTCTTCTGCGATCTCCCAGGGACCACAGCACTTGGAGCTGAACGCATCTAAAAAGCCCCTTCCTTTAGAAAGGACCTTGTTCCTGATCCTGGATCTGGCCCTTTGCTCAGCTCTCCTCCGACATTCTCCGAAGTGCAGCCCTGCATGCCCTGAGAAGTGGGAGAGACCTTAGCTAGAAAAGGCCAATCGGAAAGCCAGTGGAGTGCTGAGAAATAGAACGCCCCGGGAACCATTTAACAGTTGTGCTTAATGGAGCGGTGCTCAGGGTGCCGCTGCTGACTCCCTTCATCTGGAGGTTTGACCAGATCAGTCATCCACTGTCCCCTTAAAACCACAGCAGGGGGGCTGTGGTCATCATCGGTGTCTGGGAGCTGCTGACAGTACCCTGTGGAGTCCATGCTGTGCCTTGCTTACCAGGGGCCAGCCCCACTCAGCATCCCTTTATACGGATGAAACAGAGTGGGGCTGACTCTGCGCATACCCGAGGGGTAGAGCCTTCCTTATAAGAAGTGACATCAAGGCGACATCTCCCCTGCTGTTGACCTGCCCCTTCCCCGATTACTCAGCACCCATGATGAATCAGTTTAGTGTTAGATTCCTCAGTGACTCAGGGAGAGGCATGGTTGTTGGTGTTCCACTTCCTAGGCCACTTTTCTGTTGATAGACATTAATTTGGTTTGTGGCCGAGGAGGTTGGGATGCCCAAGAGCACAGCGTTGGCACTTGCCTGGTCCCTAGAGAGGACCTCCTTGCTGTCCCACAGCCTGATGGTGGGTATCACACGGGGGAAGAGCAAGTGTGTTTTACAGAGCTACTGAGATCTTCATGGCTGTGGATAAGTGATGACTTCCCAGAGGCCTCACCTCCAGTGTCCACCCTCTTAGAAAACTGGAGGTGGGCAGTTAGTTTGTGATAGGTGAACTCAACTCGTGCATCATATTTGATATCCGTAGTTACCCAAGAACAGCATATAAAGATCACTTAAAATTCTGTTGAATTGTTTTTGGTTTGAGATGGAGTCTCATCTAGCTTAGGCTAGCGATGTAGCCAAGGCTGACCTTGAAAAACTTCTCCCTGTTCAGTCTCCACTTCCCAAGTGCTGAGATTATCAGCATGCCCTGCCATGCCTGGTTTACACAGTGCACAGTGCTGGGATCAAACCCGGCGCCTCCTGAATGATAGGCAAGCGCACTCCCAACTGAGCGGCATCCCCAGAGCTGCAGTGATTGTACTGAATTCAAGTCAGACAATGCACTAAGACACATGTGATTTTCAGGCTTTGGTGGATCTAAAGGAGAAAGACCTGTTTGGAAGGTGTCATAGCCAGTCACTGATACCTTCAAGTGCCGACTGTCTCGTCCTCTTGTCCGTTCCCCACTCACCCCCCACCGCCTCTGACCCGTCCTTTTGTCCATTCCTTGGTATGTAGGTGCCGGCGCAGACTTCGTCATGCTGGGAGGCATGTTTTCAGGCCACACCGAGTGTGCAGGAGAGGTGATCGAGAGGAACGGGCAGAAGCTGAAACTCTTCTATGGCATGAGCTCTGACACAGCCATGAAGAAACACGCGGGGGGAGTCGCTGAGTACAGGTATGGCTGCCATGTGGCTCAGGCTGCGTCCACCAGTCTGGCTGGCTACTCTGTGTTATAGTCCCCTTAAGTGGGGGGAGGGGTGCTAGAAAACACCCCCAACATCTTTGTATGCTGCACGGACTTCCATCCTACTAGCATTTGTGAAAGCAAGAGTGGGAAAGTTGGAGATGTGATTCTAGGTCTGGGAGGGACACGTGGCTGAATGGGAGGGAGTATTGCCTTGTCCTGAAAGACTCCACTGAGGCAGTGACAGTGGTGTGGGATGTTCTGGAGTATGGGAAGCTAACTGCAGTTGCCATCTCCCCCCTAACCCCCAACCCCCACCCCCCGTCATTTCCCTCCAAGCGGGAGTCTTGATAAACATGGTGTTACAGTAGCAGGGGAACTAGGCAGGCAAAGGTGTGGGGGCCAGCCTCCTTGAGAAGTGGAGCACACTCCTTACTGTCGCTTCCTGTCCCCTCCCTCCATGGTACCTGGACATTTGGCCAAGAATCCCTTTGTCTAACCAGCAGCCAGTTACCTTCCGAGGGCCATGTGGAGTCTGTGCTGGGCCGAGATGAACCTGAGCCACCCTCTGAAGTACACTTCCCCCTCTTCCAGCTGTTGTGGAAAGTCCTAGAAAGAGCAGAGTGGGAAAGGCAGGGCAGACTGCAACAATACAGATGCCAGGAGCTGAGGGAGAAGCCATGGAGTGGCAGGGCGTTCAGGAAGTTCCGCAGGATGAAAGTGCCATCAAAACGCTGAGCCTCTGGTTCTGGAAGCGAATCCAGACCTTAGAGTTCTTCATTTAGAATGCTGCAGGTCTTCCACCCACAGTTAGCCTGAGCATCACAAGCTTAGCCTGCTCCTGTCTCTCTGGCACTCACCATGACCGTCCCATGAGATGACTCCCTCCTTTGACCCCATGGTTAACTACTGCCTGGTTATTAGTGCTGGGCTAGCTGCTTGTCAATCATTAGCACTTATGTGTGTCTTACAGATGAGCAGATGTTGGGGTCCAACTTTGAATTATTCACAAAAGATGATGTCACCTTAGCAAAGGGGAAAGAATCTGGGAAGGTCATGCAGCGTCTGAGAAGAACGCAATGGCAGCTGTTGTGGGCACACATGGGCATGTGTCTGTCTCAGGTCACAGAGTTCTGTGATCTGACCATCTTTATGTGTCAGTGACTCTGGTTTCTTGAGCTTTCTGCTCTGTAGCAGCCACCAAGCAGCCCATCCAGCCAATGGTTCAAGGTGCCGGAGTTCACGAAGCTCAGAGCACAGATGCTAAGATAGGATTTTGAATTCTAGACAATGAGCTTCAGACTGAGTTTCTATTTTTCTAGTTAGTGACTAGGCACAGAACATTCAAGAATTTGGGTACTTGTTGGGATTTGCCTGGTCTGCGCCCTCTGTGATGCTGCCATGAAAGCATGGGCAGACTGCATCTCCAGTTTGCAGGACCAAGGTTTCCTGGTGGCCTTGGGATGATGTCATTTGATGTTTGTGTGTTTAGGCCCAGCCTAAATGACAAAGCCCTGCTCTCAGACTGTGGAGATGCCACCTGAAGTTCTGGGGGTTCCCCACTCACAAAGCTCTCCCCTGGCTCTGAGCAGCGGGTGTGGTGATACATGGGAGCAATTGGAGCTGGTGGGCGCTAGAACCCGGCAAAGGACAGGTAGGCTGCAGGGGTGTGGTCACTCCATCTTCAGGGCAAGACTTTTTATATGCCCTAGGCAGACCTGTGTTGTCCATGGTGAGGACGTTTAGCATCCACAGGGCTGGTGCTGAGGACAGAAAACCTCTGTGCCTTTTCTATCAGTGAAAAGGGATGGATGGAGCTGACCTAGTGGGTCTGTTTTCCCCAGGGAGGAATTCGGGTATTGGCTGTTTGGTGGTCAGTTTCAATAGGAACCATAACAGCAGAGAGGCATTTCTAAGGAGAATGTCACTCCTGGGGACAGTGGGGGCAGGTGTCTCTATCTTTGTTCATATTGCTGACCAAGACTTCTCTTTCTTTGGTGAGTAGGGAAGTTCCTCAAGGCTTCGAGGAATACACCATCTGCTAGGGACTTGGTAGGGATGGCAGAGCGGGGTCAAACACCATCCTGTGGATATACCATCGCTCTTGGCCTCATAAACTCACTGAAGCTGTTGTCACGTGGATCAGACTTGCACCATATAAGGGAAGACCTCGTGACACCCCACCTGTCTCCAAGGAGCTATAGCCAATGGTTGCTGGGAGGGGAGGGGCAGTCATTTTCTTCAGCAGTGTGACCACTAGTAAGGCGCCTGTGTACTACTAAATACCCTCAACCTGGAAGGAAGGATTAAATGCAGTGGGTCACAAGCAGATCAATAAAACAAAACGGCATGAAAACAGGGGGCCGTGGTGAGGAAAGAGAGGGGCTTTGGTGGGTGCAGGAACAGGATAAGAGAAGATAATGGGGAGTAAAAATGACCAAAATACATCATCAGCACGTATGATGTTGTCAACAAAATAAAAGCTATAGCGGGGATAGTTCTACCTGGGTGATTAAGGGAAAACGAACTGGATTAACCCTCCTCCCCCTCTCCTCCCCCCTCCAGGGCCTCTGAGGGCAAGACTGTGGAAGTGCCTTACAAAGGGGATGTGGAAAACACAATTCTGGATATCCTGGGAGGACTGCGGTCTACCTGTACCTATGTAGGGGCTGCCAAACTCAAAGAGCTCAGCAGGAGGGCGACGTTCATCCGGGTGACCCAGCAGCACAACACAGTGTTCGGCTAACCTCAGGGATGCAGAGATGTTGAGCTGAGTGGAAACCACTTCCCACCATGCTTCTCCCGTCCTCCTTTTGTCTGTCCCAGTGGGCTGGCTGCGCTGCTGCATGGTGGAACAGTGCCACCGCTGATGCTGACATCGAGTCCTTGTCCCGATCTTGCACCCAGAGGCCTTGGGGCTTGCCCTGGTGCGTGTGTGGAGCCCAGAAGCAGGGTGCTTGTGGGGCCCTGGGCCAGCATCTAGAACTCATTGCCTCCTCGTTTCAACCAACCTTTGTACCCTTATCCTTCCACCTTTGCTTTCTTTCTAAAGGACAATTGTTTCACTTTTAATAGAATGCTGTGGTCTTGATTGAGTGCTGGAGTTTGCATATTCAGGAGCATAGTTGTATAGAGTCGCTAGAGTTGGGAAAGCCTCCCCCAGTCAGGTAAGTGACCCTCAATTGTTAACACACAAGGCACCTGGCTGGGGAAAAGGTGTGGCATGAGCCTAAGCAACTCACATCCCACCTACTGCCTCCAGCTTTTGTTGCTAAAAAGAAAAGAACGCAATGGTCAGGGTCAATGGACATGAAGAATCCTGCCCATGCTCCCGCTGAAGTCCTTCTTGGGAACAGGTCTTGTCTCCCTACCTGTTTGGAGCTGCTTGTAGCTAGCAAGCCTGTCCTGTCTTAGATTCTTGTATAGTTTTGTCATAGACTGAGACCCACCAAACCTCTTTCTTTCCCTTCTCAGTCCTAACCTGAAGGCTAGCTCCTCTTCTTTAAATAATTTAACTTTATTTTATGTGCATTGGTGTGAGGGTGTCAGATCTCCTGGAACTGGAGTTACAGGCAGTTGTGAGCTGCCATGTGGGTGCTGGGAATTGAACCCGGGTCCTCTGGAAGAGCATCCAGGAAGGATCTAGCTATTAGCCCAGGATGACCCCAAACTTGCCATCCTCCTGCTTCAGCCCAGCTAGGCTGGCTCCTCTCCAAGAGCTTACAAACCATCTTGAAGTCCTACAGATGTTTTATGAGACTATAAAGAATTCTTGCTGAAAACCAAGTGCTCTGTGGCCTAAAGGTACTTAAAGTGGGAGTTAGAGGAAGTCCCTTGTACTGATTCTGCCTAGGAAGAAGCAGGTAGCTCTGCAGCAGAGTGGACGTTATTGGTTGGTAAGAGGGACTGTGTCCTGGGAAAAGGCTCCTTTAAGCCCCGAGAGCTGTCCTGCAGTGTGTCTGTCCTGTGTGCTTGATCTTGCTGAGCAAGGGCTAGTTAATTGCCAGGTGTGAACACTACCTGATGCTGTAGGGAAGATCCAAACACACCAGTACATGGGGGATTGCCAGCCCACTTCTAGACTGGTATTTTTTAAGGCTGTAGTTTAAGTTTGGGAGATTTGCATTCTGAACCCTTCTCCAACCCCTGCTCCCAAGGCCAGAAGAGTTGTTCTTATACCTGTAGAAATGTGAATGGTTGTACTCAGGAGGACTCTGTGATGGATGTGTTCACTACTTTTTTTCATCTCAATGACAAAACACCTGGAAGAAGCAGCCTAAGGGAGAAAGGATTTCTTCTAGCTCGAAGTTCAAGTGATACTGACCACCATGGTGGGCAAGGATGGGAGTGGCTGGCAGCTGTGACCAGCAACACAGGCTGCTTGTTTACAAAGCAGGAAATCAGATTACTGACTACTCATGCTCCATCTGGTTTCCCCCCACCTCCTTTATCCAGTCCAGGTCCCCAGCCCATGGGATGGTGCCCCTCACTTTCCAGTTGGGTCTTCCCTTCTCTGTGAAGCCTTTCCGGAAACCCCATCACAGAGTGAGTGTATCTCCTTGGTGACTGTAAACATAGACAGGTGGACAAGATTAACTGCCACGAAGTCATTGCACAAGAGGCTATGCAATGCCAAGGAGAGGCGGCACTTGTCTAGAGGACGCTACTTCCTTTCTGTCCCACCTGGGTCAAGGGGCCACCTCTCTGGAGCATGTTTCATCTTTTAGCCCTGAAGTCAGTTTAATGAGCCTAGAATAAGTGAGAAGAAAAGGAACGTTTAAGTCCATTGAAGTGGACTTAACACAGCTGGTAAGGAAGGTCTATCTGGACCTGTGCTTTTCTCCAAACCTCCGTTGTTGTAATGAGCTATGTATCACCTGTGTCTTTCTTAGGCCTGGCCCCTGTGTTAACACTGCAGCATGTGCCACTGTGGCGGACATTGCTCTGAGGGTGCCATGCCATGTGCCCAGCATGCTCCCGCCCTGGGCTTCTGCTTTCTTTCCCCGCAGCAACCAGGCTACTCATCTCTGTTCTCTATAAGCCTTGTTGCAGACTAATGGCCTTACAAATCCAGAGGCTAGTCCACCCCCATCTGGTTCTAGGCAGATGATGGCCAAGCTCTTGTAAAGCTCCAGATACCCAGGATCATCTTGGAGCAGAGGCTTCAGCAAAAGAACACACATTCCCTTTGCTGTAGCAGGTCCATGATGTAATGGGCCTAGAGGACCCACTATTTGGACATCCTTCAGCTCAGGCACCCACTACAACATGGCCAGAGAAGTCCTGTTGTCCGTGTATGTATGGGACTTCCTGCGATGGACTGGGAGGTATGGTGGCAGAAGTGACCGTGGCTGTGACAGCACGAGACTGCCTGCTCACATCCCTGTAGACAGGGAAGCAGAGCAATCAATGTTGGCATTTACCTCCTAGGTGATAGATATCAGGGAGCATCTTCTTTGGAAAGGCAAGCACAACCCTAGAGTAGGGAAGCAGGAACGTGGTACCTTTGGTCTCAGACTGGTGCAATGCTTCTTCGAGTTTTGAAGCATGCCTCAGAGTAACACAGCAAGCTGTGTGTTTTTCCTATTCAGCCTTTTGCATTCTCTTAGCCACAAGCAGTCTCTCGTTATCTAACCCGCACCGTACACCAGGAACAGCTCTTCTAGTCTGGTCCCTTGAGGCTTCCTGGCATGAAAGTTCCCCCTCCACCACCACACACTAAAATACAGTATGGAGAACCCAAAATCCTTGTTTCAGGGGCTACATGCTGCTATGCGGCCTGGTTTGCTGGGATGAGTCCTAATTAGATAGGTCAAAGATAGAACCAAGAAGAAAGTCTAAGTAAAGAGTTCCCATTCTTCCCCAGCCATGTGAGAACTCTGACCTATTTCTGGCATTCTCTTTCTCCCCGGTGTGAGCCCAGATTTCAATCAGAAGAAGTCCATAGGCACGGGTGTGGATGGGAGCAGGACAGGACATACCTGGGGATGGCTGATCCTGGAGGCATGACTTGCCTAGGCAACTGCTGAGCCACATCTTTCCAAAACCGAGCCCAACACCAAGCTGTGCACGGTCTTCTCGAGACAACCATGGAAGTGGCTTCTTGTGCCGGAAGACTTGCTCCGTAGGTTTCCATGAGGCACGCACCCTGGGGGAAACACACTCCTCAACTCCAGGTCACTTCCCAGTTGGAGCAAAGCTGCAGAGCCTGCATTGATAAAGCCACAGAAGGCGCAAAGCTGCCGGTCATTTGAGAAGAAAAACCTAGAATGGTGAGCAGATAGGAGATGCAGATTAGGGACATTCACGCCTCACATGACTGCGGTCTCCCCAGGGTGAACTGAGGTGACAGGGCAGGGGCAGTGAGGAGGAACCCACACAGTTTTCTCAGCCACGGTTTTTGTTAGGGACCCAAGAGAAGACAAAGACCCAGGTTTGCAATTGGCACTGTTATTTTATTATTAGTACGAGTATTATACAATAAACTTGTACTGGTATACAGACGATTTATTTAAAACAATTTTGTTCAAATTTTGAATCAAACATTGTTTTATTATAATAATAATTTCTACCTAGAAAACCTGCAAGCACCATCAAAGAAAGGGACCATAAAATTCAATAAACAGACTCGAGTGTATCCTACAAATAGACACACCACGATTAGAAAATAGAATATGAATTCTTCCATTTTTTTTAATATTTGTTTTAAAAAAGCTAGTGCAAGTACAACATTTTACACTGGAATTACAGAGAGTATGCACGCATATGGAAAAGTTCTCCTGTCACAATAAAAGCTCTTAACTATGTATGCACTTAAAAGTTTCTTTTCAATAAGGTGCAAAAAACTTTTTTTTTCCCTAGTTCTCCACATGGTAGTACCCTCAGCCCAAGTTTTGGTGTCTGTTTCCCCTTGGCCTGTGGGAGGCATATGAATGGAAATTGGAGGGTTTGGGAACCTGATGTGAAAACCTTCGCTGGTTCAGATCTCAGGTTCTTTAGGGCCAGGACTCTACTGGTTAGAGATGAAGACTGTCTTATTGAAAGGCCACCACAAATACTGACAGGACTCCGCTGCGACCCCTTTCAGTCAGCACCACCCAGGATTACACTTGAGGGGTGCAGGTGGGGGAGGGGCAGTAGTCACAGGGTAGGACCAGGACCCTGGTGGCTTGCCAGGGTTATGCCTTACTGACTCAACATTTCATCCCACTCTTGGTCTAGAGAATAACTTCAGAGTAGGTGGCGTGGGTAAGAACCAAGAGAAACCTAGGCACCATCCGTCTTGGTCACGGATCTTTCAAGACAACAGTTCTAAGCCAGTGTCACCTCAGCTGGGTAGTCTAGGGGACAGTGCATTATCTCGGTAAGGGTTACTGTAAACAGTGCTTCTTCCCACACAGGCCTGCAGACTGCCCATCCAGACAGCAAAGGAACAAGAAAACATTGAGTGGATGGCATTCTCCAAGTGTTCCGCAGCTCAACAGTGTTAGGGAAGCTCTTGTAGACTGATTTGTGTAGATGCTACCTAATGTCCAAACTCATGGCATTGGGGATACAGGCGAAGCTCCTGTATGCAAGAGTTGGGATGCAAAGTGCTGAAGCCTCTGTCCCCTCTTCTGCCTCTATCAAGGAGAATGTCAGCTACAAGAACTTACACAGTACGGGAGGGGACCCAACCCCAAATTTAAGAATCAAAGCTAGGGTCTGTTTACCCCCTAAACTGTCTGATTTGAAGCACCCAGCTCAACTGTTGAACAGGAATCTAACTCTGACAAACCGCTCTGCCTTTCCTCTGGCCTCTGCTTGAGAAACATCCAAATGAAAGCCAGGCATTCAAATTGGAATTGATGTTTTTACCCCCATGTAAATGAGGCATGGGGTGGGAGGCAGAAGGAAAGCTCCTTTTCTTTTTCTTTTTGTCCCTATGTGAGTCCTGTCTTACTGGGAAGGAGGATCCCTTATAGAAACACTTCATGTTCAGGATTATATTCTTTGGGTTTATAGGAACAGGAAGTGCTGAAAATGTCAGACATCATCCAAAGAAAAGAAGTTGCAATGGCTTAAGAAGGGAACTTAGAGAAGTACTTCCGGCCTA